AAAAAATGAAAGAATTTATTTGATTTTAACACTGTTGATAGTTTGATATATCACAGGTAAATATGCACCGCATGTTTGCTGTATGTTTGGTACCCCATATGTAAAACATATGTGTTTCATGTGTTTTGAAAAACATGTGTTTAAGAAAATGTGTTTTTCATATGTAAGATTAACTTATGTTAAACAGGACCATATGAAAAACATGTGTCAACAAACGTATGTTAAACTCATTGTTATCACAGGTTTTCATATGAAAAAGTTTTCATATGTTAACTATATGTGAACTTTTATGTGTTTTTCATATGATCAATTTATGAATCATATATTCTGCAAGCTTTGCACTTTAAACAGTCTCAATTAGGTTCTACATGATTGTAAATAAATTCATAAAAGATTCTTGGTTCAAGCATCTATGTGCAACTTATGATTATATGTTAAATAGTCTGCCATTAATTTATATTCATGATTTTTTCTCCCTTTGTTTATGCTTGTGTTTATGAAGCGAAATTTTAACAATCAAGAACCCAAAATGAGGTGACAGTAGGGAGTGACTGTTAACAAAAACTAATTCAAACTAAGTGTTTAAAGATCCTGTATGTTGTTATTGTATACCACATTAAAGTGAAATTATATACATGTATATCGTACTTATGCTTATAAAACAATTTTCAAACATCGATGAATATGTAAAATATGTACTGCTAATATTTGTACATATTATATGTAATCATTAAAATATATGCATTCATTTCTTATTGAATTTTTTTTTTAGAAAAACAACTTTTTATTACCTCCCTTTATTTTTACATGTAATGTTAAGTTCGGTAATATTTATAAATAATGCTTTTTTGGAACTTACAAAATTGATAAATCGTGAAATACATTTTTTATGGTTTTCTATCATAAATATGATGCTCAAATTAAGATTTATCAATTTTTGTTTTATTGTTTTAATTGTTTTATAAGCATAATTATATATGTATATATAATTTCACTGAATACATAACACTTGTTAAATTCATATGAATTGTCAAGTTCCAGCAAACCAAACTCTGGAACACAATTTACAATTTGTAATGAAAAACATGATTCATGTGAATCAATATGTGAAAAACATAAGTCTATGCCATAAATGTATAACATGCAGTGTCCTTTTCTTGGAGAAACACTGTTTCCTACCATATAAAAACATATGTTATTCATGTGTATCCATATGAAAAACATGTGTCTGCACCATATGTAAGATATACGGGGTACTTTTATTGGAAAAACTATATGTTTTTATCATATTTAAAACATTTGTGTCACATACGTTTAACATATGGTGCATATTTACCTGTGTAAGAACTGTATTAATATACGACTTGCATAAAGACTTGTATAAAGACTTGCATTAACACTGCCGTTAATGGAAAAGCGCAATAAAACAAAGTCTGAAAAAAGTTATTCTGCGAACATTGAATTTAATTCAACTTTGTATCTTTAACATGTATCCCTGTCCTTTGGGAACGTCCCAATGTGGCACATTTCAAAGAAGAATTGTATTTTGCTAATTAAGAAACAGAACACGATCTATACTGTTCCTAAGAGCAATCTTTAAATCAGACTACGTTCTTTGCCATCTGAGACCAATACAGAATGTAATATTGTCAATAAGAACCAATGAAGTGAAAGTCTTTGTTTCTTTTAAATGCCATGACTATTCACTGGCGATACGTTTTTTTTATTTTACCCAAGCCGTGAAACACATGTAGAATATATCCTTAAAATATTTTACTTAAATGTAATTTCACGTTTTCCGAAATCCATCATGTCATAATTATCATAAAGAGACATTTCCTTCTTGCTTACCTATTCTTGCTTCACAGATATTATTGAAGATGAAGTTCACTTAGTCTGTTGATCATCTATCTTATAAACAACTACCTTATCTGAACATGTCAGCAGGAGGGATGTTAATGGCCCTTTATGTCCAAGAAATGTTTTCACTTTTATCTATCAAAAGCTTTGAATATGCTTGGTATTCTTCTTTAGTTTCCGAAAAAGCTACTCATTGGCTAAGTATCTGAAACATATTTTGTTTTGTTGCATATTGACAATAAGTACAGTTTAAGTGATGAAGTATTTTGTATGAAAGTCATTGTACTACCTTAATGACAAAATATTTCACATTCAGCAGCTGCTTTCTTCAGGTAATAGGCATCTTACATGCTCTAAACTATTCTTTTTTCATTTGTTATAAAACTTTAAGTTTTTGCTTTTCGAAGAATTTAATTGTTATTCGTTATTTAGGCATAATGTTCCTTTGAAGAGATGTTTATAATCAACACACAATAAGATAACGTTAGAAGAAAACAATAGATAAAAGGTTTAAAACAGTCTTTGCTTGTCCATCAAGTTCTTGACATGTCTAAATCTAGTTGTATTCTTAGCATGAATATCGTCATCTTGTTAAACTTGTGATATTCCAAGACCTAAAGGAACTAACGTTTACCACTACACTAGTAACTTATTAAATAGTGTAATTTATGCTATTGTCAAACACACATACACCATTTAAGTTTAGTTATGTTTAATAATATTTCATTGTATAAATATACACACTATATATTTTCACAATTTTACAAACATAATCAAGTGTACATACAAAAGGGTTGGGCGAAAAGTTCTGACAACATTTTCTTGGGCCCTTCCTTGATTTAGTATAGTTCATATCGCCATCCACACCCTTGATTCTCGCCCCCTGTTAATTGTACCTTTTATTGTTAGTTCATAATTTATCTTTTTCCCCGTTTTCTAAGTGTGTTTGATTGAAATGCAGCCTCCAGCTCCGGCCTTTGTGCCCTCACCAATGTTTGTCCACATCATATTTGGTGTGTGTACACATTTCGAGTGGTCCTGAATATTTGGAGTTTATAATTATTTACTAACTGTAGTAAACAAATTTCTTGTTTGATTATTGAAAATTATCTATATGAAAGAAATTTGCTCGTTTATTTCACACTTTGCAAAATATTAGCAAATTGAACACTGAACTAGTGAACTTTCAGCGTTTGCACCACGTAAAGTTTGTATCATGAAGAACTGATTTTCCAAATAAAATTACTGCATTTAATAGAAGGTTTAGAATCGTTATTTTAATTCACTGATTTGACTTTAAAAAAATCGAATATATTTTATATTTATATTTTATATTGATCAAAAACATTTTATCAGCAAGACATAGATGTATCTGTGTTGTTCGAGGTGTATGGGAAGCTGAACTGTTAACTCTGAAACAAATATCTTCATACAAGATTAAGAGTTTTTTGATATAATGATTCTTGAGTGTTGTTTCTAAAAGAACAATATAATCTGACGGAATTTAATGCATATATACATTAGGGGGTGACAGTTTGGCGGATAATATAATCAACTTAATGTACTTTTGACAAAAGTCAAAGTCACTTTTCCTAAAATAAGTGGAATTATGTACCTCAGCTTTTACATCAACTAGTTCTAGATTTATAATATTTCTCTTTCTATTAAAAATTTGAACGCTTGCTGATAAAAGATGTGTAAAATTAATGTTTAAGGCATATTATGTCCCAGAATGGCTTTTTTATATTCGGACAAAGTCCGTCTGTTATCAGTTTGACGTCCTGTACTTATTATTATATCAATGTTTTGCAGGCATTAAAAACATTTCTTTTTGCATTGAAAACTTAGAAACAACATAATTTTGCATGTTTACCAGTATTACTTAGGACGACTATTTTTTTTTGAAAGATACTTCATTTTTCTCAAAACTTTTCATTTTAGTGTAATTTCATAGCTCATTGGCCAATTATTTTTGTTTTCATTTGATACGTTTTTTTTCTTCTTTATTAATTGTTTTGTTGGGATTTTTTATTGTTTTTGTTTTGATTTTTTGTGGGGGGGGAGGGTATGATTTAGTAATTTGTATGGAGATTTTACATTTTGCTAACTCTTTTACATTTATCGCCACTTTCTGTAGGCTACAAGTTACACGATAATTTTGTTACATACTGAAATGTTATTATAACTATTTTTTAACATTTAATTGGTGTTAGTGTTAAAAATAATTCTTTATCAAATAGGGTTGTAGTATTTCAAATGAATCGTAACACATTTACTTTGGTAAATCAACCTATTTTATTGTTAAAAAACAAAGAAAGACGTAAAAAAAGGAAAAACACTTATCAAAGAATTACTACCCTATACATTTGTTTTAAGTAATCTCAAGATTTACAACACTTATTACATATTGACCTTATCTCATGTAAGAAAAGCTTAGTCGATGTAAAGTTAATGTGTAAAGTGGACCGTCATCGTTTCAAATAAAGGAATATGGTTATGAACTAGACAAACGGGTAGAAGAACATAAATAGTAACCAGGGGAATGTCTATAAAACTTAAAAGAAATACAATACTGCTCATTTGTCGAAAAGAATTAAAGTTTACTAATTTATTTTTAGTCGTCGTAATTACATCACGATTTCTATTATAATCAGGCATAAAGTATTAAAAATATTGAAACAAAAAAGAAACCATATCGCGACACAGTTACATATGTGCAATACCCTAATTATTTATTCGTATTAATTCAATTTAATCGTTAAATGGTATTTAATAACGAAATAAAAGTACATAATTATATGTACAAAATAAGATACAATAAATCTTTTCAAATTCAGGTCACTAATTAATCCAGCTTATATAAAAAGCGATATATTTTTTATTGAAAGAATAAAGTGAGGTAAAACTAAGGTGAGGCTTTAAAAGGATTAAGAAAATAATTTCAACACAAAATATCACATTTTAGAAGATTAACCTGTATTTAATCTGATCAGATTTCTAAAGAACAAAAATATACCAATGTAAAGTTTAAATATCTCGAATGATTTTTAAACCCCTATATTTGGCACATGGTCTGGTGTTTTTAATCTAAGACCATGTAATAATACAAATAGGGTATCTACTAAAAGCCGTCTGATGTTTGAGTCGTGTTTGACAGATTGGACATATTGGACATATTTTGCTTAAGATGTAAATCTCAAATATTGATCGAGCTTGTGGATATACTCATTACAGGATACCTAGTCTTCGGTAAATATGGCGGATAAATTGTAATTATATATAATTATCTGTCTGCCGCTTCACTTAAAATAAATTATTAAAAATACTTCTATTAAAATAATTCTAAAATATGTACTAAAGAAATATTTACAAATTGACTATAACACTTATTTATTTACGTTTGTTTAGCTTGTGGCTTTAAAATTTATTCTAGAATTTATTCATATATTAAACGAGGAGTTAAATACCTAGATATTGGTATCTATATTACGGACATGAAGTTGAACATATACCCCAGTCCCGTCATGACAAAAAAACCTCACTGGAGTCCCTTTAAGGAGTGTAATGGGCAAAGAAAAACATTTATACTGAATTGACAAACTTGATACCAGTATAATTTTTTATGTTTGGCCTATATGTTTGTGCAGGCTCGGTTTCTAATTATTTTACAGAGCACTACAGTTCATAAAAAGACGATAACTACGATATTTAACAAAGCTTTAAAAGTAAAAGTATATTTTCTCTGGGTTTGATGGTAAAAATCAACATGAGGAGTTATGGAATATGTGTCTTAAATAAAATGCAAGTACATTAGCTAACAACTGAATACAGTTAATGTAGATTTTCATGTGTCATGATGACATGTGTTTAATAACTACTTTATCCCATCTGTCATCTCTTAATGCTTAGTTTCTATTAGATTTTATTGTTAAAATGCACAAGAAGATGTACTAGGCCAACTCAAAATATATATGCGAGTTAAGGTAAGGTAGTAAATGTAGGTAGGTTGGTAGCTAAACTATTTTTGAATCTTTTTATTTTATTTTTGATATATTTTCAATTGATATTATATTCTTATCCGAAGTAGTATGAATTTAAAAGAAAGAAAATTGTGATTGTTAAGCATATAACTAAGATTAAAAAAATGTTTAATTCAAGTTATACTCCAGTTTAATTATTTACAATCCAAGGATATTGAATGAGTGTAGGTTTAATAGTAAATTTATTGAACGAGTTAAATTTAAAAAAATTCTTTAATACGAAAAGGGCCCACTGTCGAAAGCATAATAATTTGTTCAAAAAAAGTATCGTTAACTTTAAAAGGGGCCCTTTAAACGCTTGTTTAAGAAAATAACACGGTCTTACGGTGTTTATTTCGCTATTTAAAAAACTTTTTAAAAAACCGTTTTGGATTTTTGAATAAGTAGGAATGACCCGGGAAGGGGGGCCGTAGCGTTAGTGTTTTAAAATAATTTATTTCGGAAATTTTTGGGAAAAAAAAACATTATAAGAACTGAAATATAAATCAAAATGCTTTTTTATTGTTTCTTTAAAAGGGTTTGTAAACTATATAATCGAGAGAGAAAACATAAAAGCCGCATATACAAGTAGTTCCTAACCAGTGTCTATTGGCAGTTTAACGCCGGTTTTTTCCTTCTTTGTCTATAGTGCAAAATCACGAGGAGTGTTAGAATTATATATAACACAAATGACGTCACGTCAATGTTATTACTTTCTATCAAATACCCTTGTATTCACCAGCTAAAAAAATTATATTTGTATAATAATTGATACTCATTAACAGACTGTTGCAATTTTAATAAAATAAAGGGAATTGAATGAGTGTAAATTCAAAACTGAGTTTACTGAACAAGCTGAACAAATCATATAATGCGGCTCCCTGACGAGCAAAACATCATTTCATTCAACGAGTTCAATTAATTTAGGAATGAACCTACACGAATATAAAAAACAACAACAATGTTTTTACATATACAAAATAATAATTGTACAGTAATTTAAGTTTTCATTAAATGATGATAGTGTAATTCTAACATTTAGTGTTTTTTTACGCTATGTATGTAATACGCAAATGTCGCCAAGTCAAAATAATATAATATGCATGGCCGTGCATTGCCATTTTTAAAGCGAAACAATGTATGTGATGAAGAGAAATGATATTAGTAGATGCAGTACTGCCCTAGTGGGTAAGGTAACATGAGGGGAAACAAACTATTTTATTTTAGGCCCTGAAATGAAACTCTTATGTGTAACGTGAAGTGTCAACTGTTAAACTTTTAATTTACCATCTAAGATTCTAAGTGCTGCTAGAAGACAATAAATTGCATGATACCCATTTATCTATGAAGTAACAACGTCCCACGTGACATTGGTCGTTTGTCAATATTAACACACTGTCATGCTATTCTTATGTTTTAAAGTAATAAGCAATTTGGTGAATTAACGGATTAATCCATTAGATGCATTCAATTTACTTTTCCTATTTTGTACTATAACTATAGGATTCGAAATATTCTCTTTATTTCTATCAGTAAACAAAGCATTTAATTCATTTCTCATTGATCTGCATTATGCGTTTTTTGTTTTTGTATTTTCCTTAAAATATAATAATTGGCTTCCGTTTAAAAAGGCGTGGATTTTGAATCACTAGTCATGTTTTTATATATATTATAAATTATGTTGTTTTGAAAAACTAACGTTACTGCAAAGAATATATACATATTAATGACAATTTTTCATTTGTTTTTTTCTAGCGTGTTAATCAAAACTCCGCGAGGATGGCTGTCCGGTATGTATTTGTCCTCATATTGTCGGTTGCGTACACGCAGGCACAGACAGGTCCCAACTTTTGTTCCTATAACGATGGTGTGTTCGAATGTGACTATGCAAGTATGGTTTCAACGTCAGACCGTCCTATCGACTTCAATGGCTTCAGTCAGGACCCACAACAAATAGAGATCACCGTCAATGGGTTCCTTCCATACTTTGGTATGTTTTTTGTTGTTTGATGGTTCTGATTTTTTAAATAGTTTTACTCGAGTTTGCTTATAAATTATGTACCCATTGGCCATCCCAATACGTTGATAAGTATTTTAAATATCCCCAACTTTTTACTTAAAGTTCCTATTTTTATACTCTCATTTTCACTCTCGCTTAATGGTATAACTCTTCACACAAGATTAAAAAAGATATTATTATTTTAAAGGTGACACAAAGGTTTTCACCAACTTCGACTCAATTGATAAAACAACGTTTGATAACAACTATCCGTCAACGTTAACGATCGACTGCGGTTTCGGCGGGAGTATGTTCATGACGGCGGGAGCATTCAACAACATGAGTCACGTACAGTACTTAAAGGTATCACGTGATATATATTTAAGGTTTTGAAATATAAAAACACAATGGCATTGTCTTAGTCATTTTAAAGATAAAAAAACTTCTAAAGTCATGGAACTTCACAATATCATTCACATTATTAAATATTTATATACAGAACTGACTGCAAACATGCCTTAGATAAGTTATAAACATCAATTTATAAATCTAATTATATTTTTAAATGCATTATGATTATTTTCCAATTTTATCCCCCTTGTTTAGATTCTTTAGACGCAGTATAGGATACCTTCTCAAACATTCATTTTAATTCTAATCACATAAAAAATCATTCAGTTTTACTCTAGATATCAATAAATCCGGTCTTTTTAAATTCTAGAACAATTACAATTTTTATATTGTCATTTAAGAGGTAGGTGATAAACACTATTGTTTGTTGTTGTTTTTCAGATAAGGAATTGTGACACATATTATATACCATCTCAGATGTTTACAGAGCTCAACAACCTCGACTTCTTTAGTTTCGAAGGAGGATCTATAGATGACATCGACCCAAATGGAATGTTTGGTCTCAGTGTGGAGAAGATGACCTTTGACTCACATACTATACCCAGAAACATGGGAAAGTTTGACTTGAAATACACTCCTTTCTCTACCAAGTCAGTACCACCAGGTCTCCTCTTCAACTGGAAAAATCTGTCAACTGTTGCTTTAGTGGTAAGCTTATTATGTGTCGGCGTGGCCCGGGGCTTTACGCACTAGACATGTAAATATATATATATATATAAATCGTTGACCATATGACTTCTTAATTATTTTGGTTGTTTTTGTTGGGGCTCATTATAATGTTGTTATCATATATAGTTACCTTTGAGGGCACAGACATATTCATAAACAAACAACTGTTGTGACGTGGCTTCTAATAAAAGTGATTGTTGTTGTTGTTGTTGAACTGCCGATCGAATAGCAACTTTCAAAATCAATAGTAATCACTTATTATTGCTTTTTAATACACTACCCATTTGATCTATAAACACCAGGAAAAGGTGAAACTGTAATCGTACACTGCTAAACAGTTAAATATTCATGCGCTTAAATAAAAAAGACATTTTTACAATTCTTTCGAGAATCGAACATTAAATTGTGAAAACAAGATAAATTTATCGTTTTAAGATATAGTTTTATATAGAAAATGGAAATGGAAATTTCAACAACCTTATATTTATTTAATAACAAAGATACAAGTTAAATAGTTCAGTTTGTTGACCCATTACTAGTTGAAGCTATTTATAGAAACATCTGGATCGCACCCATCTCAAACAATCACGCATATGTTGATATAACAGCCATATGACATGAATACGTAACTGAGTGGGCCTACATCACTTATTCCGCTAGTCGTGACATGTATTCTTGATTTAGACAATAATTAACCACGTGCCTTGATGTGTTATTTTGAACATCCCTAGAGTACACACATGATAGTACTAACTTTAGATATTTACTGTTGTTATAGTTATATACGTAAGGAACACGGAACATGTAAATGTCTCTTGAATGACTAAAAAAAACATCTAGCCAAATGATCGATGACAATATCTGTTTTATATTTGTCAAATATTCCATGTTAACAACAACATGCGTTCCAAGCGAGTATTTCAACTTTAGTCGCGGCACTAAAGATTTTTAAACGAACAAATAACTGACGAATACAGAACGAGGTTGACGTTCCCGTGATTTGTTTCAAAATGAAATGCTTAATTCAGTTCATTTTTCATTCAACGTTAAAATTCAATGTATACATTAAATATAAAAAAAAATGTTAATAAATCCACAAAATATATTTTACGAAATAATGTAAAGGTTTATAAATTCTGTAATAATTGTCTGCCTGTTTGGTTGGTTTTACGGCACATAAGCACACTTTAGGAATAAGAAAGCTGATTTTAGCTTACCTCGGATGTTGCAAAATTCAAAGCAAAATCAGGGGTCAAAACATTTTTATAACGGTCAAGCTATTAATATAAATCAACATATTTCAGGGCGCAGACTTGGAAACTATCTCCGCTGATGTGTTTACTTTCAACTCCAAGCTAACCCATATTGACCTGAGTGACAATACGTTCGTTTCCATACCAAGTGGAATATTTGACAGTACGTTTGCTTGATTTTTTATATTTGTTTATTACATTTGAAAATGAATCAGTTGTCACAAGAGCCACGAGATTACGTGCAAAAATTTCATGCCACTGTTTATCTACTATGAAACATGGGACTGTACTAATGGAATTGTTATAAAATAGGAATAATTGTTATCTAACAGGAAACAAGTTATAGTGTTTTGAGCAATATAACATAATCCCTCCCACGTCATTCTCTTTATTACAAACATATCCTTTGATATGTTTGCCTTAGTGCATTATTGTTTGATAATGTACACCAGTAAATGAGTTGATTATTGTATGTAAGAGTAGTAATTGGCGGCAAACAATTACAGTGTCCTTAACGAGTTAAAATATAATATACAAAATTGATAATAATTGTTTCATTATTCAATATAATCTGAGGAGCATATTAATTACTGTTGACGTCCCTTTTAGCGTTCAAGTTTTTATTTAAACAAATGGTCGCAATTCTTGCCTTTTGCTGTTAACACTGTTATATGAACAGATAATTGCAAATACAAAGTTATACAAGATTTGAATGAAAGATTTACATGATTTACATAAATATATATACATATAGACATCATTTGTTTGAAAGGAAGGTAAATTACCCCGATAATTTCATAGAATGTTGCGGAATAATAATAATAATTAGCAAGAAAAGCAACAAATCAATAATTAAAAATAATTCATTACATAAAAGTAATATTTATCATTCATTTTATTTCAGTAATCCATGGCATTATGTAAATATTTAGCAATCTTTATAAACTTTTTTCCTGATTATTAGATGAAAGTATAAAAGAAAAAAATCTGGAAAAAGTGATCATTTTATATTCTATTGAATATACAATATACAGTTTATATTCACTAAAACCAGATGAAGTAATTATCACATGATCATGTCAATTTATTTACCATGGATATGTCGCCCTTCATTACACTTTCTTTGTTGTCATTTTGAAGTAAGTTTCGGACGTTCCTATTTTTAGATTTAAATTCTCTATCCGGAGTGGACATTTACAACATACAGTGGACATGTAGCTGTGACAACACTTGGTTTGTGGATTATTCAGCAAAAAACAACATTTCAATGTCCGGAGACTACATGTGTAGCAATGTTGCAGGTACGTTTATTTTTCCAAAGGGGAAGATAAGAAGCCTTCAACATTTTTAATTTGCTGTTTTGGACAAAATGTAAGATATATGTTTCCCACTATTGTATCTTATGTACAATTACAACGAAAAAGTATCTCAAATGCCGGAGCTTTTTCATGTTTCGGCACGCCATACTGTAAAGTAAGCAATAATACATTAACTAAATAACAAACAAAAAACATGTTATACAATCATTTAGTTCTACCAATAATGAAATCCTTGCAACATCTTTTATTACAATGACTGCGCAATAATCATTTTAATAAACAGACTAATAAATACTTTATTTTAGAAACTAAAATACCGCAAGATTCTGCAACGTCTCTTTTCATTGGATAATTGTGACGTTTATATTATTAGATAAAAAATTGTTGGTTATATGGCCCTATATAAACGGCTATTTGCAAATATAACCCGATCCGATGGCAAGGGTTATATTACAAACAGCCGTTTATATACAACCGTATATAAAACCTGTCAACAATCTTTATAACGAATTTTTAATACAGCAAGAGTCAAAAGTAAATTTCTTCATTAATCGACAGCAGCCGTGTATATAAAACAATATTAACGTCAGGATTATCCAATGAAAAGCAACGTTTCAAATTTGCAGTATTATAAAGTTTTAAATACTCGGCTGCTGTCAATTCATAAAAGTATTTGTCTCTAAAAGGGAAGTTTGCTCTATTAAAATACGATATAAAGATTCCTGTCTGAATATATGGCCATATATAAAAGGTTGTTTACTATATGGCCATATAACCGGTAAAAAAATTATAACTTATAATATAGTGGGGTCTTAATAGTCACAATATTAAAAGTTTGTTGAGTTATTGTTTTGACTAAATACAATACATTTGCCTTAAAAATGTGTTTAGTCTAGAACAGACCATATGTGAACAGCATAAGGTTAAACAAACCTAGAGGTAATATTTAGGCGTTACATCTTTAAGCCTAGCAATAATATCAGGAAAAGTGCTTTCGTTCACAATGTTTGTTTCAAATTGCTTCGTATCTTCACATGTTCATGTGATTTTTATATTTAATGATAATAAAAATTTTATACTGTGTATACCCATTGAAGAACATATTTGTGTAAAATTACAAATCTTAAGCGTGGAAGGCAGCTTGCATTTTCAAGTGGTTTAATCAAACCGAGCTGGAAACATTTTAAAATTTGCCGTTTTTGGCGTTTGTTAGGGACCCTTCATTCACTATTTTGATATTTTAAAATGGAGTATCTTCTCCTGATTTGTAACAGAATCATCTTGTATTGACAGGTATGAGTGTATGGAAATACTACGAGGACAATTGTAGGATAGCCAATCTCTGCGATGGAACAATAGGTAAGAAAGGATAGCAATGATATATAATCAGCTACATAAGAAAGCCTTTCTGATTCACTAATACATCACCGATTTATTATTTTCACACTTGTCTTTGTGTATTTTCTTCTTCGTTTTATCTTCCAATAGTATAGGATTTTATAGCTTACATTGCAATCTTTCTATTTTTCACTATAATAGTTAACAATATATGTGAAATTGTAAGGGATTCCAATTATTGAGAAAGAATTTGTTGTAAAAATCAAAATTTAACCGTCATGTTTATAACAGGTAATGTCCATATCGAATATTTTTGACATATGATAAGCGAATGACAATGTTTTCGTTCATCAGTATAACATATATACCATTCAGAATTTTTGACTATAGTTTCTTCAAATGTGTGATGGTTAAATCATTTATTAACAGTTAGCAGTACTAAATCAACTTTTGAAAAACACCGTCTTCATTATTTAGTTGACTTTCCGTACATTTTCATTTACAAAAACAATGTATCAATAAAGACTAACTGCGGGTGACAAAAAGGGGTGCAATCCGCTTAATATGCAACAGAATTGGTTCACGTTGGGACAGAACATTCATTAAAAGAACAAAACATTCATAAAACCTTTATTTCCAAAATCTTACAAAGCAGTCTGTAAGAATTGCCATATAACGGCTAAAGCGAACAGAATGTCGTGTAGTTTCCCTTACAATGGAATATACACCATTTTCTTATACATATCGACCACGACCATGTGGCTACAGGGTGGCACCGTTTCAAGGAAGGAATTTCGGCATGCAGAACTCGGATAATGATTAAACTTGGTAAGGGTTTTGAATTTTACCTTTTTGCATATGTGTTCACACATTTTGATGACTTATGGTTTTATTATTCAAAACATTCTGTACCAAAACAAATGACAAACTGCATAATATAAAATCGTGTTCATGAAATTGTTTTTCACAATATGGACACATTGTCATTCGTTTACTAAGGTGAAACAAAACTTATTCACCGTCATACTAACACATCTATGGATGTTTTTGAATTCAAAATTTCTCAACAAACATTATAAGTGCTTGAGGATGTGAACGGTACCTTGTACTTTACTTTACTGTCTACTGTCAATGAACAAACTAAATTACACAGAGTCTGAAACTTTTTCATTTTTACTGCCTGATTAATGTTTTTTTAATAGCATTATGAGCTTTTTAATGTTTAGGAAAGGTATTGAAAGAAAACTTAATTAGTAAATTAAAAGTTGAAACTTTTTGAAAAGATATAACGTTGAACGACATTTGTTTGGATCGGCACCATTTTTGCTGCTTCAGCATCATTACCTTATTGTGCTAGAGCGCTTTAAAACAACATAACAAAAGGCACATGTTACCAACCGTTTATTTGTTACTTAACTCCTATATATGGCAATAAATGGTTATCGTGACAATAATTTTCATGACATCAAGCACATTAGACAGATACTTACCACATCATTTCACATGGCTATATTGATACGAATTAGGCTGATTTGTATGATGTCGCAATGATTTTCCTAATTTCTAACAACGTGTATTAACCAAAATCAGTGCACCTGTTTTAAAATAATCCTACGCAAAATGGTTCTGTTATGACGTCCGTTTATTTTCTTTATTTATATTTATATTTTGCTAAATGTATGACGTATGACTCTTTTATACATTCAAATATCCAAATACACATATGTTACATGAAATAATAGTAGGTTGAATTGTTTGTATTTAGTAATGATTTTTTGATTGTTTTGTTTTAAATAGAAGGAATCGGTATGTTGAGGGATTGCTTTTGCTTAAAGAACACCTCAACATGTAAAATGTTTAAAAAGCTGCTTAAACCGATGCTTGAGGGCATAAACCGGGGCTGGCAATTTTCAGTATCGTGCATAAACAGGCAGTTTAATAAAAATTCTGGAAACAAAGTGATCCCGAGGTCGCAACATTTTCAATCCTGCCGTTGTGGACGTTCTTAAGGGATTTGGTTTTTCTCTCTAGTTGAATGTGCCAAAGCATGTAGTAGTTACATTTTGCATCTCTCTAAATCTATCTATTTCTTTTAAATGAGTGAATAGTACCACAAAAAAAAAATCAAAGCTTTTGCATATGAATCGAAATTTATTTATCCCAATGTGCAAATATACATTATATACATATTAGCATTATATTAGCAGACTAGGATAGCCAGCCAACCCTATCAATTTTCTGTGACTCTACGCTCGTATTCTTTTTCATACTATTTTGATTTTTTGAAGATGGACGGATCTGTTGCATGTATAAAATTTATATCATGAGTCCACATTTCTTAGACGGACCAATATTTAAGTGATAAATATACAAATATGCAACATACATATACTGAATACAAATAAAAGTAATTCAAAAATCCGCGAAATAGTTAACAAGTTGTAGTATGATATCAACATTTTGGTACCCAATATTTATACTCATTTAAACTGAAGTTTTAAACAAACATTGTACAAATGATATAGTTTCTCTATCATAAAACGACAAGTTAAAACCGAATTCTCAAGAATAATCTTGGATAGGCAATAACAATTAGGAGAGTAAGGATTGACAATTATATTTCATCGCATACCCTTTCGCAGTAAAACTTGATATTTTTACAGTTACATTCTTAAACATTTATAAATTTAAAACATCATGATTACACAGTTTATAATGGCATAAGCTTATATGATTTTTAATTAAGCAATTGTTTTTGTGTTAACTAGACAAATGCTTATGAATGCTCATATGTGTTAGTTTGTAAATTACCATCCAACCTTTTGCTTTTACAGGGGCAGTAGTGTTAGGAAAGTGTCACACCCTCTTCGCTTTGCTTGCATACGCATGCGCACTCGTAGCCGTTATACTCGTCATAATTAGCTTGATTTTGATTGTCCATGTACGAAAACAAGATCAGCAGAAGAAACAGCGCAGAGGGAACGCTATAAAACGGTGGAATAAAGTACTTGACGCTGGAATAAGACTTAAAGACGTTCAAAAGATGTAATGTGTTCTAATGTGACGTCATTCAAGTAATTCAACAATTGACGTCACTCTTGAAATTCGATCCTGAACTCACTTTTTCATGACAATAATTGTGGACAATCATTTATTTTGGAAAAAAAAAACACAAAAAACACAAATAACAAACTGTAATTTGTCAATGAATAAAGTCCTCCGACGATTGTATGTATCGGAGTTTACTATCTGTGTACATCCCTAACACCATCTTTAACATCTATCATTTTTTCATATTTATTTTTCTTACATTGAATTGTTATTTTTTTGTATAAACACAATTCAAAATATGATAATCGTTTTTGTAACAAACACGGTTTGAACAGTTATCACTGGTCACGAAGAGAATAAAAGAAATATTTTGCAGGCAGCTTGTAAATAGAAGACATTTGTGCAAGAAAATTATCTAATGAATTAATAACTTATGTCAATTTAAACACATTCTGGTTCATGTTGCAGTACATCTTTTCACAGAGCAAACACCTTTTGCCAGACAAAGCTTATTATTTTTGTCGTGTGGCGATTCTTGGAACTGTGGTTAAATCTGTTGTATGCAGTTGTTATAAATACCGTCGTTGTAAAGAGGTCATTGCTATGGAGACGGTTGCTATACAGAGGGTACATTATGTTGTTTATATGCTGTTACTGTAACGAGAACTTTTGTACTTTGTGCATTATTTTCTAATAAATCGTTTTAAGGTTATGATATGCAATACTTTTATCTTTTAACATTTTAGTTTATTCTCTTTCTAAATAGTCATTTGTAAATATCATTCGCATCGGATATTTTCCTCACATTGCAAATATGCTTTTTTTCACGTTAAATTGATTGATCACTTGGAAACATTCTATGTTATTTTTTCAGAGTTTATTTTTGACACAGATAAGGGAATTTTATGATGTTAAACGTGAACATTTTGTTTATAAAACTATGACGATTTTCAGAACTTAATATTAAAGTATTTTGAAAAAAAAAATAGTGTTTTTTTCTAAATGCATACATTCTTCCACTTTATCCCAAATGATATATTTATTTAAAAGAAATTCAACATTTTAACGAATTATCGTGTAAGTGTATTAAGTGAAAGTCAAGGATCCATTTGGAAAATTTAATATGACAATTAAATGATAAACCAAAATTTAATTTAGTATTATTTTGCCTCCTGGAGGCAACCTATTCAAATCAAACGACCAGTGCAAAACACATCAGCCGTTGGGTTATAGTCTGCACTGATCGCTATTCAGTCAAATAATACTTTGAAATTTTCCCTAAAATGATAAATACCTATTTGATATGATAGCATGGTATGGGTAAAGCATCAGCGATTGTACATATCTATATAAAAAGGCAAGTAATAATAAAAATATAATTGAGCCGCGTCACGACAAAACCAAAATGATGGGTTTGCGACCATCATGGATCCAGACCAGCCTGCGCATCCACAGTAGTTTCTCTGTACGCGAACAGCATATATCCTCATTCCTGATCAGACTGCGCAGACGCGCAGGCAGGTCTGGATCCATGCTGGTCGCAAACCCACTATGTTGGTTTTGTCATGACACGGCTCATATGTTATCTAAGCATATCTAAGTAATAAAAAAATAAGTAAATAAAACGCATATCATACTTCATCAGCCCTTGGTTTCATTTACAGCATAAAGAAAAATAATAACAAATCCTTATTAAACTTTATCTGGTCTCTCTTTCATTTGACTGACTTCCGTATCAAATTAAAGGGACTCCACTGAGGTTTTTTGACATGATGGGACTGAAAATATTTTTTCCAGATAAATGTACCATTTGATGTAGGTTTAGACCACTAATCTTTGTGCAAAATTTCAGATCATTGCCGCACTAAGTTTTTCCAGAATAATTATTCAAATTGTAAAAAATGACCCAAAATGAAAAGCGTTTAAACGCTTTTCACTCAAATCGGACTAAGGAAAGCATAAAAATACGATTTTCAATTTATTTCAAAGTATATTTCTTAACTATCTTTGTATATATTTCTCTTTAAAGTGCCCCAGCTCATTTAAGTAAGAAATTCAAATGTTATGTTTTTAGGCTTTTAAACCTCAGTGGAGTCCCTTTAATGTTTAGTTAATTCATTGTGCCGTGCTACCATACCATAGTGCCTGGATCAAAATTTGTTTAATTTAACAGCTATATACTCGTACAATTGTATTAAATATTGTATTCAACAATGGATAAAAACCGCATTATAACCTCATAATGTAAGAACATATTTATAATTTATATTATCGAACCGACAATGTCTTGACTCTATTTTTTTTTCTACATGTATTTCAAGGTTTTTATGCGCATCTTGTTCGAAAATGACATAGAAGTGTACCAGATTCTGCTGGTATTCAAACACATGATACATGTCTTTGTCAAGAATTGCAAATTATCTTGTATATTGTAGATAATGACTCAAATTATCATGTATATAGTAGACAATTACTACCATTTAAGTTGTTATATAACTATAATTGTGATAATTTGTCACCATGGCAACCGGCTGTTGCATGTTCTTTGTGTTCTTATTTTAGATTGACTTACGTGATGTTTTTGCAATATATGCACTATTTGGAGTCATGTATAATGTAAAAGATAAATTTATATAACGTTGTTGTCAGCTTATTTTCACCTTTGTAGCATTGACGTACGCAACAGTGATGTAAACAGTTATTTAGTTAACTTCCGTTTTAATATTTACTCAGTATCAAATGATTGGTCTATATTTATATATACCACCGATATCAAACTATGTATGGTGAATATGGTAAGTCTACATCATTTCTAGCAGTCAGTAAACATCAACAAATACATAAGAGATTGTTTTGAGTCATGAATTCATCTTTCTTTGTTATTGTTGCGCGTGATGATGTTAAAGCTTTAAAGTTAAACACTAAAACAATTGCAATACATGTTACTTTACTATTACAATACATGCGGTAATAATGAGGTTTTATAATAGCTAAAAAGAGGTTACATCATTATGACAATATGTGTGGTGATATAGATGTAACGGGACTACAGCAATATTGTTATACATAACATTATAAAATATGCAATGTTTTTTTGATAAATAGTCTTCGCTGTTACAATGAAGCCAATAAATAAATAAAATGAATAAAAAAACATAATTTTTCTTAAAGGAATATGTTGAAGATAGTTTTGTTTATAGTTACTAGATGAGACATGTATAAAAAATCACATGTCATGTTTCGAGAATAGTATTTTATGAATGAAATATTTAACGGCTTTGTTTTTCCCCTTTTTTCTACAGAAGTAAGGGCTATTTCATGTTTGACAAATGAAACCTATTTCTTTGATAAGTAAATTGATCTCAAGGCTGAATAGACGGAGATATATGATAAACTTGTCGGTATATTTGATCATATTTAAATCCAAAAACTTTTTTTTTTTGGCGTATCTAAAACATTTTACATGAAAAATGAGAGACTGATATTATAATGATTTAAACGCAACAGATTCTTTCTAATAATCAATAACTTTAACTGCCACACTTATGATCTTAGCATTTCATTTGATACCGATAATTATCCAAATTGTTTTAATGAAAAGCGTTTTTTCAAAGTTGACCTAATAATATATGCAAAAATGATGTATTAAAGATATTCTGGGATAAAATTCATAAAGAAATCAGTAAATGATGCAAATTGTCCATTTTTTATAATTATGGTAATTCTTCGGGGGTTTTTTCCAGGGAATAAAATAATAAAGAATATTATTCTATAAAAGGAATACAGGATTGAAAACAAACTCACATTATTGTTATTGAGTTATTGTATACCCGTGATAAATAATTAAATATCTGTTGTTTTTTTTGTTTTTGTTTTTTTGCAAGCTCAAGTGAAATTGGAATACAAAAGCAGCACATGTACCTACGGACAGTAGCGTAGTTAGAGACTTAAAAAGACGTAATTCTTGTTACCAAAGGGGATCAATTTCATTTATCCTTCATTATAAGGAGTAATTGTTGAATTACTTTCTGGTTTATTGTTTATCATTTATTTACTTCATGATAAAGGGGTTTCAAAGCTTTACTTATCAACATTGATATTGAAATTTTCTAGCAGGCTGACTGTTTTCTGTTAACAATGACTTATCTTTTTAAAACTCATTTTTATAACTTACAAGCTTTCTGACAGAACTGTTTTCCTTTTCAACAGCGGAAATACATAAAATCCAAAAGAATTTTCCGTATTTCCACAGTTTGTGAAGATCACGTCCTGAAATCACTAATATATGCATTTGATGTTATATATAGAGGATATTGAATGAGTGTAAGTTCAATCCTGAATTTATTGCAAGAGTTGAATAAATTATATTATTTTATTCAATGAGTTTAATAAATTCAGCAATGAACTTAACACAAATTCAATATTCAGTTTATCACAAACCCAAAATAAAGATCGTTTAGAGTGAAATAAGAGTTTTTTTTTCATTAGCGCGCCTATAGTATGACGCTTACATTTAGCGCTTCATTACAATTTGTTTGTATAACGGTAATGACGTCACGTCAAAATATAAACTTCACGATATAAACCCATCTCTTGATATGTCACCATCTCTATCTCTGTCAAACCGCCGTGATCAAACAGTTCTTCTTCGATGCCGAATTGGACACACTAAAATTACCCACTCTTATCTCCTCACAAATGACAATGCCCCTTTCTGTGTAGGTTGTAATGAAAATTTTACTGTCAAGCATTTTCTTCTTGAATGTCATGATTTTTCACAGGCCCGTAATAGATTTTATTCTGTAAATTCACTCAAAGAACTTTTTAATACAATTCCATCAGAAAAAAACATAATTGATTATTTAAAAGAGATAAATTTGTATTCTAGGATCTAATTGGCTCATTTCTATTGTCATTTACAATGTTTTACATAATATTTTAAGCCTATTATAGCATTCGGCACGATATGGCCAGTTATGTGTTGACGTGCCGTAAAAATCCAAACAAACAAAAACGTCAAAATATATGCACGGCCGTGCAATACCATATTTATGGAGACGCAAAATCAACACGGGTGTGTGATAAATATATATATATGCATACGTCTGTTTAAATCTATTATTTAAGAAAAACAATATTTTGCTTTGATTAAAATTGATACATATTAGGATTATGAAACATTCCACGATTTTAAGACCCTCTTGACAGCAATTAAACAATTTCTCGAAAACAGTTTTCTTAATATAAATTTAATGTATCTGTATTAAGATATAGAAATTATATGTCCCTTTATATTGTTATATTTATTTATTTTGTATTTTTCTTCGGTGTGTGTTCTATTTTATCTTTAGGATTTGTGGTTCGTTCAAAACAACGTTTTAAGTATAAATCATAACAGCCATGTATAACAAACTTTAATATCTAAAGAACATGTACGTTAACGAACTTAACTTTCATAAATGAAAAGACTTGTAAAATTATATAGCCACGGGATTATCTTATATAACGCAAAGTAGGTTACATGTTTTTCTTTTGACCGTTATGTACTATATAAAGATTTAAATAATCTTTTAATTCCTACATTATTTATTGATTGCTAGAAAAGCAGAAGTGTGTCACGTAGAATATTTTATGATATAGAGGATATTAGTTAAGTTCAGTGTAAGAGCCGAAAATTGATCACCGAGTGAGCACAAAAAGGTATATTTCACGAGTGGCGCAGCCACGAGTGAAATATAAACTTTTGTTGTTAACAAGGTGAAATATATTTTGATTTTACACTAAACTAAACAAATTTTCCTTTCATTATATGCAAAAAAACAACTTTTAAAAGGTCATTTAACCTAATACTAAATGAAAAGCGCGCCAAATATTATAAACGTGACGTCATTGACGTCTCTTCTTTAAGTTGGTTTCCACTACTGTGCACGCTGGTATTTCACTGAAACAATGAAGGGGCTTAAACTCAAAACAGTGAAATTATCATATATAAGTTTTATATCACTGATATATTTCTATAAACTACCGAAAAATCATATAATAAAGGGGCGTATCTTATAATTAGGAACATAATTACTAGATGTTAATCCTGTAAAATGAGATAATAATATCGTAATTACGAGATGGTGCGTTCGTGACCTAGTAGTTAAGGTCGTTTACTATATCATATGCCCCTTGTCAGAAATTATGTAAGCAGGGGTCCCTAAGCTCTTCGTCCGCCAGTAAAGTTTGAAAGTCGCCATATGACATCTACTGTGTTTGAGCGACGTACAACCCAACAACATTAACAACAACAGCAGCAATAACACGAAACAATGATAACGAAATACTTATTGTAATACTCACTGAGTAATGGATATTAGAATAATTGTTGCAAGTATATACAGATTCGCATTGAAAATACGGGCAACCCTATGTTAAATGTCACCTGTTAAAAAAAATGTTGGCATCAATTGAAAAAAATCCATTTTCAAAAAAGTTTAATGGTTAGATTTAAAGTAAAACATTTATTATACGAGAGAAGATTTATATTTAAAAGCACCAGAAATGGCAGCTATTTAAGGCTTGTCTTTTCTCTTCGTATGTTTCGTTATCATATGTACGGCTTTGTTTTAAATGACAAAAAAATAGAAAATGCAATGCAAACTGATGACAGATCGTCGTATGTACATAATTAAAAAAGATAAAAAATTAACATAAGTCAATTACCTGTTGTTTTTTTTAATTGCAGGGATTGTATTGCTCAAGAAATGTCTCACGTTGTTTGGAATGCTAGCATTTGGTTGTGCCTTTCTCGCGCTGGTCATAGCAATTGTGTGTCTAGGTCTAATAATATGTATGCGTAAACAGTCCGGACAAACAAAGAATCGACAGGCTAAAGCACGTGGCAGATGGAACAAAGTCAAGGACATAGGAAGGCTGAAATTAAACCTGAAAAAATAGAGGAAAATTTGTTTGATTGAATATAATCTGTATCCCATTTCGTTAATGTTACAGACATTTAATATGAGTGATGTGAAAACATCCACGTTTTCGTATACATGTATTAAATTTTTTTAGCTATAAAAGAATGGATAGATTTAAGTTTACTTTATTAGTAATAAATATACAAGTACGTGATTTACAAAACAAATCTTTAATTGTTCATGTTTCAAGTATGAAAATGTGTCTTAACAAATATATTTGGATCAGGTATTTAGGGGTTTACTTTTATAAATACGTGTCTTTGTTTCGGAAAAATGTGTTAATTAAAACATAACCTTGATTCTTTATTTAAATTTTGTACTACATTTTCAATAGATGAGGTCACTTCAGTTAAAGTCTTAGCCTGGGATTCAGGCGTTGATATTTTGTGCTTATTCATTACAGACGCGCTTTAACATACTCGATCGTCATAGATAGCACAACATCTCTGGTTTTGATAGTATCGATTTGCCGAACAAAAGCACATAAACAATCATCAGACTGGAACCCAGGCTACGAAACTCCATGTTTTGTTTTGTGCAAAATTTGTACGAATTGAAACTCACACACTATTGTTCACCGAGTCCAATCGTTCACTATGTTTTCCAGGCGGAGAACGCATGAAGAGATCAATTTTACAGGTGGAAAACCGATACTTGATTAGAAATTGTCTTCAATTTCTTTGAAATGCATATTTCACAAAATTTTATAGCCTATTTTTATCTCGTATGATTAATTTATCCGGCAAGCATCTCAAACACGCCAAATCTTTGTTAACTTATTAGATCATTATCGACAACTGTACAAGAAAAGTCACAAAATTGGTAAAATCACTCTTTGATAGCCAATAACTTGACATCCAAGCAAACTTCTAAACATTTGCTGCTCTAAAGGTTCGTTATTAACATATCCTCGTCCACCAAAAGCCTGCTCTATTTCTATTCTGTATCTTTGGAGTATAATGTCGTTTAAGCGAATTTTCAAAATGAACGCATGAGCCGAACTTTTCATGTGGTTTCATCAGATTGCAAAAAGAACGCATGTGCAGGTGGATGTTTTGGTTACTCCAGTTTTTATGGATATCTCACATGTTATTGATCACTGAACCTTTAAATTCCAATATTTTCGTTCCAAATGTTCAAGCAAACAGAAGTCTTTATTTTCATACCTTATGTCGAATTGCTTATAAGCAATAGATGAAGGTCTGTTCGGTTCTGTGAAAATATAATAGAAATCCTCATTGCTAAATTTTTGAGTAAAATATTTGCAAAATACAACATCTTGGTTGATGGGACTTAAATTTCCTGCATGTTATAATTAAAGACAGAAAATACACTTAAAGATCGATCCTGTGACTCAAAATTTTATGTTCTTATATGAATTTTTTTTTTTGGCTTAAACATCTCTGGTTTACTTACCACAATATCGGTTTTCCACCTGTTAAATTGATCTCTTCACGCGTTCTCCGCCTGGGAAACACAGTGAACGATTGGACTCGGTGTTGTTGTTGTCATTATATACAAGTTACACGTCTGGTCTTCTGAGTTTTCTTTTTCGACCAGAAGAAAACGAGATAAATGAAGTGTTTACGTGTAGTCAACAAATGCAAAATATATCTATCGGATAAATTATAGTAACATACTGGGCATCCAATACATAATTATGGGATTACAGTCAAACGCAATTCAACAAAATTAAATGAACATTTGTGGAAGGGCAATGAACAGTTGTGAATATAGAAAGATTAAACCAATCGTAAGCAGACTATCAACAAATAAAAATTCAAATTAAAACACTTTAGATTAATATTTCGAAAGTTATTGTCTCAGTACTAACTATTATGTTTTTATTATGTCATAATTTTGTTTGAAATATGTTTCATTCTATAAGCCTTAAATAAGTAAATCTTCCGTACTGTTTTCCTTATTTCATTTCTGTTGTGTTATGTTTGATTATTAAAAGTTTGCATTTATTTGTCGGATTCACAATAATTTCTCTTAACATGTATATTTACGTCAGATTACGAAAAGCTGATTTACTCACATCTTGCAGCAAACAAAATTTTCTGCTTTTGCTGCATAAAATAATATCATACACTTTAAAAACCCGCGCACGAACGGGGCGTGCGCACGCACGCACATGGAGACTCCGTTTTCTTAGTATGTTTATAAGAGGCAATGAAATATTACACCCCCTAGCACGGACCTAAAGATATTAATCCCATGTAACAAAGACATGAATGATGTTAGTTTGTTAATAAATACCACATACCTTGTAGTTGTAACAATAATTATTATTTAAACTTTTTTTTTCATATGCCATGTCATTTTCTTATATGAAAAATACATATAATAGAGGATATTTGATTATTTTGAGGGAAAATGCAAAATGTCACACTATGAGGTGAAAAAGTCGCAATGTACACTGCTGGTATCAAACAAACAAACAAAGTGTGTAACGAGGCAACATTCTAGACACTAGATGGCGCTTTAAGAACAGAATGCATCATGTATATGAACTACATGACTGTAAAAATGAAAACGAATTGCTGCATACGTTAAAATATGCCCATTCACTTGCATATAGAGTGAACAAGTAGAAGTCAAAATAAGTTTGCATTATGCAATAATTGTTTTCTATTTTATAATTTGCTTTGCATTAAAGATAAATTACTCTCGAAGCTTAAAGCAATGTCTGAATAATTTATATGATTTTTCCTGTAATTTAAAATGTTAAATTCCTATATCAACTGTTGGTCATTTGACATTATAACAGTCAATCTTTTGAAATATAAAGTCAATTCAGCTCTACTTGGCAAATTCATATACTTATCTCTTTAAACATCTAAGCTAATATTTATTAATCACTTCCAATGAAGATGTATGCGACAAAATTAATTCTGACTATCCGTTTGTTTTTAGAAATAAATCAACCATCATGATTGTGCAAAAATTGTAAATTGACAATGTATTTAATTCATTAACATTTTTAAAAAAAAGTTTTTATCCCTGTTTTAATTCTCATCTAAAAATGAACACAAGTTGAATAATTAATAAAGTAACTGCTGAGAATTGTGCAAATTTTTACATTGAGAAACATGTTGAGATAACACTGAATAAAAACAAACATGAATAATTTCTTTGTCAAGTTCTAATTCCATTAGCTGCATAAAAGATGGCAATATTGAATAAATATTTAACAGTAATATATTCATTCCAGAACAGAATCTTTATAGCAGAGCTCACATCAGCAGAAAATGGATAAAAAAATACTTAAAGAAAGTCCAACACGGCAGAATTGAAAATGTTGCAGACACGGTTTGATTGAGCCTGTGTATGGAGGTATTGTCACGTGCAAGCTATCTTTCACGTCCCCTAGCACCAGCTGAATCAGAATTCAACGTTTTCGCATAAAAGTGATGACATTTTGAATTTAGAAACATTCACAGATGTGTTCATACGGCAGTTAAAACTGCGTATGGTCCCCAAGTAATAGAAAGCGTTTGCCCTAAACGAGAAAACAATGTGCGAAATTAAACAACCTTGATGATAAGGATACCAATTAGATATTAGTTTTTTTAATTTTTCACATTTAATATAAGTCTGGAATTGTAAATTTAAGGACCAGTCTGAACATATGCACACATAAATTAGTCAGTGATTTGTAACTTCATTAGCAAAAGTTGGTTTGCACATGTATCATCTTCAAATCATTATTTTATAGAAAGAAATAATAATCTTTATTTGTTTTTTGGTCAATATATTCGTTTATTATTGACATTTCATGTTGGTGCCAGCAAGAACAAAGAACAAAAATGCAGAATATTTCTGAAAAAGAACGAAGATTAAGGTAAAACTGAGACAGAAAATTTCATTTAATGAAGTTGAACCGGTTTTGCTTTTGACATCTTTCATATGTTTTTTAAAGAAATATAGATCGTATTTATGTCATCACATAATGCACGAATACTTATAAATTTCATTACATTGTAGTGTTCTTTTAGATACAACACTCAACAACCATTGGTTGTAATGCAGTTAAGAAATCGTAGTAAGATATTCATATATACAACGTAACTGTTAGAAAACATTTGTTATATCATAAATAGATTGTTTTATAATCCTATAGCAAAGTTAAAATCTACAAATTAATTATTAAAACGAATGAAACAATTATTTTAATATCCAAGATTCATTCCTATCCTTAATTTTATCATTACCCTTAAATTGTTGAATTTTTGTTATGGATTTGCCCTTCTTTGAATAAAAAACAGTACATCAGACGTTAAAGGAATTTACTTCATTATAGAAAAATAAAAGCAACAATAAATCAAACAACAGAGGTGTACTTGTAATTCAATAAGAGTTGTTTAATTTCAATATATCTATTTATAAACATGAGTCTTGTAACATACTTCCACTGATGTAAGAGCTTGTACACAAGACTTAGGTTGAGTTGACGAACATCAGCCTTTTTAGAGATATAGTTCAATAAGCACAAGACATGAACTTTTTGAATGAAGACACAGCACAACTACAGAGAAACACAAATCATTACATAATTACATACTTTGATCGTCTGCTTACACGTATTTATCTGACCTGAACTTAAAATAGTTTACATTGAATATATATGACATACTTAAGTAGCTACAATAAAACAAAAGTTTAGTGTTAGAAAAAAGGAACTCAACATGACAATATATGGGAATTAGATAGATTAAGAAAATTTGAGTGTTTTGAATCAATATATGATAGTAAACTACGATACAATAATAAAATGAAGATAGAATTCATGTCAATAAGCAGTAATATCATGTTCCCCCAGAGCGTTCAAAAACATTTTGTAAATTCTGTTCTAGAATCATATGATCTAATAGCATACTGACTAACATTAGTTCTGTCAACTTATCAATCATCATCCCTCAGTTTTCTAGAGAACAAAGCTGAATATAAACATGTATGAATATATGATGAAATTATCAATAATTTGATGGGCAAAGACCAGCAATCACAATCTGACTAAAGTGTCAGAGATGAATTTAGAAATCAGTTACAACCTCTTTCGTGCTGACATGTATGTATTATCTTATAATTTTGGGAGATAGAGGCACATATTATATGCCATGAATTTCATCTTTAAAACATCTTTTTCAATGAGAGTTTTAGAGCAATGATACGAATTTACCGTGTTTATCTTTTCTTCTAGATTCCACGTCCTTTTTTGCAAGATTATACAAGAAACTTTTGAATGACCGTGTTGTTTTCAAAAAGGACTAGCAACGTTTGAGAACATGAATAAAGGATGTCACGTGGTCCAATAAATAATCACATTTAAGGAAGATTCCCAAACTTTGCTTTAAATGCAATTATATCTGTCATGACGTGTAAGATTTTACGGTCTCTGAATTTATTTATCACATGAAATCCAGTATCAGTCACATGTGTTGAGAATGACAACGAGCTCTGATTATTGTTCTAAAGGGGGCAATACATCGCTGTTGGATGTCTAATCAGTAATATACGTTTCTTATATTAAGAATCCCTAAGAATCCCTAAAAAGTCCAAAACGGCACAATTTAAAATGTTGCATGCTCGGTCTAACCCTTTGCCCGCTTGTGG